ATGGTAATTACAAAATATTAACACAAATACTGGAAAAAATCACTACTCAAGAAAACTTTTATAAAGCATTGGACAAACGCTTGACTAGGCTAGAGCAAAAACTCAACAAAACAAATAATGCTTAGTTATATAAAAATAATGCTATGGAACTCGAACGGTCTTCTTCAACACCTTAGAGAGCTTGAAACAGTCCTATCAGTCAAAGATGTTGATGTTTGCTTAATTAGCGAAACTCATTTTACTAACCAAACATATGTTAAACTAAAGAATTACGAAGTATATAGCGCAGTCCATCCTAGTAATTGCGCTCGCGGAGGAAGTGCTATTTTAATTAAAAAATCATTAAAACATTACGAGTCTACAAAAATATCCAAAGAGGAATTCCAGGCAATAACTGTTGTCCTTGACTTACAAAGCAAATTACTACTAACATCGGTATACAGTCCTCCAAGACATTCAATTAAATCCGAACAATACAAAGATCTTATAGAAACTCATAAGCATCGCTTCATTATGGGTGGCGATTTCAACGCTAAACATACGCATTGGGGCTCTCGCTTAATTACAACGAAAGGTAGAGAACTCCTCAAAGCTATACAGCAAACTGGCTGCGAATGCTTGTCATCCGGGAACCCAACCTATTGGCCAACTGACCCAACAAAGGTGCCTGATCTACTCGATTTCTTTATAACCAAGCAAATTTCGTCCTACAATTTAAAAATAACAGATGGAGTAGAACTAAGATCCGACCATTCCCCTCTCTACATAACCCTCTTCGAATCTGCCTTAATAAATAAAAAATGTCTAAAACTTGAAAATAAATATACAGATTGGAGTTACTTCAGAAGAATCCTTAATGAAAACACCATTGCTTCAAAAGAAATTTGTGAAGAAAATGATCTTGAAAGCGAAATTTTGAACCTTACAAATTTACTACAACATGCGGCATGGTGCAGCACGCCCACATTAAGGAATGCAACCTATCCTCATAAATACCCAAAAGTCATTGTGGATCTTATGCGGGAAAAAAGAAAGATGCGGAAAAAGTGGCAGCAATCCAGATTTCCAGCAGACAAAGCCATTCTTAACAGACTTGCAAAAGAACTCAGCCTAAAAATCAAGCAATTTAAAAATAATCAATTCAACTACTACCTATCTAACTTAAGTAATGATCGTGCTACCAACTATTCTCTCTGGAAATGCACACGAATCCTTAAGCGACCTTTAGTACACAAAGCTCCAATTAAAAATCACGCTAATCAATGGGCTAAAAGCGATGAGGAAAAGGTGGAGGTCTTTTCCGAACACCTGTCAAAAGTGTTTTCCATAGACGAAAACGTTAACAATGCAGTAATCTGCCCTCCTAGGACAGCACATTCATCATGTATTCCACCAACCACCGAGCTTGAGGTAATGATGATTATTAAAAATGAACTTAAGCTAAAAAAAACCCCAGGTTATGAATTGATAAGTGCTGAAGTTTTAAAAGAAATTCCTGCAAAATGCCTAGTTAAAATTACGAATATATTTAACGCTATAATACAGATGCGAACCCTTCCATCCCTGTGGAAAGTATCTGAAATTATCATGGTACATAAGCCAGGAAAGGATATTAATGACGTAAGTGGTTACAGACCAATAGCACTTCTGCCTGTACTTTCAAAAATATTTGAAAAAGTCTTACTGAAAAGAATTCTTCCTCTGATTGAAAGTCAAAACATAATACCTTTACATCAGTTTGGTTTTAGGTGCAATCACTCCACCATAGATCAAGTCCATAGGATTACCAATGTAGTAGAAAAAGCTCTTGAGGAAAAAAAAATCTGCTCAGCTGTGTTTTTAGATGTGTCGCAGGCTTTCGATAAAGTCTGGCACTCCGGATTGCTTACCAAAGTAAAAAATATTCTCCCAACGGAGTATTATGACATAATCTCCTCTTACTTATCTGATCGTTACTTTCGAGTAAAGCACGGTGATACTTATAGTAAACTGCATAAAATTAACGCTGGAGTTCCGCAAGGTAGTGTCTTGGGTCCTCTCTTATATCTGATTTATACACACGACTTGCCAACGAGTGCAACAACGTTCACAGCAACTTTTGCTGATGATAC